ATGTAGGACGATAATCTCAATTCACTTAAATCTATTACTTGTTAATGATTCCATACGCTTGTAGGTTTCGCACGAACAATATCTTTTCAACATCTGGTGCCTCGATATTGATAAGAGCCAAACTATTTTACTTTGACCTCCACACAACATAATACTTTGGAAAATGGGAGAAACCGTCCAATTGTCAAAATCTAGTAATTCAAAAGTTTAGCCCTAGCAATAGCGAAGAATCAAAATTCTTCATTTCACATAAACATGAATCTCGGACATAGCGAACTAATGTTACCTAATGAAATAATTATTTATCGACTAGAGCTTCATGTCAACCAAATTATTGTCCAGTGGACTCTTTATTGCATGCTCATGTGTCCTTGCATACTTAGAATTAGGTCATCGAGGTAAAAAAAAAATGTACAGTTGAAGAATGCATAACCATAACACTAGCTAAAACCGAAACTCAAGGCATCAGCCATGAAAAGGTTCGAAGTCCTTGGATGAGCCGCAAATATGAGCAGAAACAGTAGCACAAATTCTAACACAATCAACATAGAGTTATTCTTATTGGACAGGGCCACATAGGCCATGTCCATCCAGGGGCAATATGCTGCCTCCTATTTGTCGGGTATCTGCACGGGTCAACGAAACCCCTGTGCATATAGCAGAACTCATCAACATATACTTTAATGCAACAAACTTATGCATGAACAAAATGAATTACTTGGCTAATATTAAAAAAGCATAAAGTTAACAAAAATCTTAAAAATTGGACAAAATCATGAATTCTAAAATAATGACGAGGGAACTTCAACTCATAAAAATGATCAAAAAGATCCTAAGTCTACAAAATTGGCAATTTGTACAACTAAAAGAGGGTTGAAAATCTAAGATTTCTTCAATCTCTATAAAGCCACCTCGGATCAAAATAAAGTTAAAAACTTCCCTTCTCAAAAATTCAAATATTCTCTGATCGAAGGATAATCATAAACTTCATATGTCTTCTTTTCTACAACCTTTGGCTCCTAAACACATCCACCCCCCCAAGGGGCCAAAATTTGTGCCAAAATTTCGACCGAAACTTGAAAGTTGGATTTCAAAAATAATTTTTATTTTTTGAGGTCAACAAATATCAATAATTTGAGATGAAATAATCCGTATGTCATAATTGCAGAAATGTGATGAAATTCATCAATTCCTCTTTCCATGAAGCCCCCAAAGTTATCAGTTTGAGTTATTGTGGCATTATCTTATCTTAATAGAACTTTATCGAAATTTAATTATAATTATGTACAACAGCAAACTAGAGAAAATTAAATCTATCATAATACAAAAATGACTTAGTGATTAAAATCTTATTATGATTACAATAATCGACTTGGCGAGTCAAACTGTTGGGGAATTAAATGTTATCATAATAAACTAGAGGTGAAAGGAGCGAAAATATAGCTGAAATATATTTACAAATCAATTTCTAGCAGAAAAAGTTATGCTCCAAACTTTTAGCCTCAACTTAAGACCCATTTTTCGAATAGCAAATGTTTGAATTAGAAAAATTGTATTTATAAGAATAGTAGCTGTTTGAGTAGCTTTTCAATACACTTTGAATCATCTCAATCAGATATTGGCTTAGGAATGGATCCATGTCATGGTTAGGATAAAATTAATTTGTCTTGGAAAAGAAAGTTAAATACATTAGCTTTATCGAATGTCCTGAACGCATGAACCGAATTAGATTACAAATAAAGAATTGAAATAGATAGCAATAGGTGGATTCGAAATTTAATACAATCGTCCATAATTTGATAAAATCATATTTTTACAGCTTTCTTAGATTAATTTAGCATATATCAAATCAAACTCTCTCTCTCTCTCTCTCTCTCATCACATAATTTGAATTCCATAAGAAATTATTAAACTTAAATTGAATTTATTCTATGTAAGATGATACTCTCAATTCACTCAAATCTATTACTTGTTAACGATTCCATACGCTTGTAGGTTTCACACGAACAATATCTTTTCAACATCTGGTGCCTCGATATTGATAAGAGCCAAACTATTTTACTTTGACCTCCACACAACATAATACTTTGGAAAATGGGAGAAATCGTCCAATTGTCAAAATCTAGTAATTCAAAAGTTTAGCCCTAGCAATAGCGAAGAATCAAAATTCTTCATGTCACATAAACATGAATCTCGGACATAGCGAACTAATGTTACCTAATGAAATAATTATTTATCCACCAGAGCTTCATGTCAACCAAATTATTGTCCAGTGGACTAGATGTCAACCAAAAAAGTGTTATATTGCATGCTCATGTGTCGTCGAGGTAAAAAATATACAATTGAAGAATGCATAACCATAACACTAGCTAAAAGCACAACTCAAGGCACCAGCCATGAAAAGGTCCAAAGTCCTTAGATGAGCTGCAAATATGAGCAGAAACAGTAGTACAAATTCTAACACAATAAACATAGAGTTATTCTTATTGGACAGGGCCACATAGGCCATGTCCATCCAGGGGACAACGTGGCACTTCCTATTTGTCAGGTATCTACACCGGTCCACGTAAGCCCTGTCCATATAGCAGAACTCATCAACATATACTTTAGTGCAACAACTTATGCATGAACAAAATGAATTACTTGACTAATATTTTCAAAAGCATAAAGTTAACAAAATCTTAAAAATTGGACATAATCATGAATTCTAAAATAATGGCGAGGGAACTTCCACTCATAAAAATGATAAAAAAGATCCTAAGTCTACAGAAATGGCAATTTGTACAACTAAAAGAGGGTTGAAAATCTAAAATTTCTTCAATCTCTATGAAGTCACCTCAAATCAAAATAAAGTTAAAAACTTCCCTTCTCCAAAATTCAAATATTCTCTGATCGAAAGACAACTATAAACTTCATTTGTCTTCTTTCTACGAGCCCTTTGGCTCCTAAACACATCCAACCCCCCCCCCCCCCCCCCCCACGCCCATCCCTAAATACAAATGAGTGTCCCGTCCCATCCCACCCCAAGGGGCCAAAACTTGTGCCAAATTTCGACAGAAACTTGAAAGTTGGATTTTAAAGATAGTTTTTATTTTTTGACGTCAACAAATATCAATAACTTGAGATGAAATCATTTGTATGTCATAATTGTAGAATGTAACGAAATTCATCAATTCCTCTTTCCATGAAGGCCCAAAAGTCATCAGTTTGAGTTATTGTGGCATTATTTTATCTTAATAGAACTTTATCGAAATATAATTATAATTATGTACAACAACAAACTAGAGAAATTAAATATATCATAATAAAAAAATGACTTAGTGATTAAAATCTGATTATTATTACAATAATTGACTTGGCGAGTCAAATTGGTGGGGAATTAATTTTTATCATAATAAGCGTGTTAAATTTGATTGTTAATAAAAAATCTACTTGGCGAGTCAAACAGGTGGAGAATTAAATATTATCATAATTACAATAACCGTCATAGCAAATAAACATGAATACGATTATAATAATTTGACTAGACGAGTTAAACTGGCTGAGAATTAAATGTTATCATAAATATTGTAACCGACTTAATGAATTAAATCTGACTATGATTACAATAATCGACTTGACAAGTCAAATGATGAATATAACGTTTTAAAATTTAAAATAAGCTTGTTTTTCATTTTTCTCTTTTTGATGGTGTTACCTTGCAACTCGGAACACTCGTTTTCTGTTTGAAGATATATGTTTTAGTCTATTTCATGTCCAGAATTTCATGGTCCCTGTATTTAGAGCACGCCAAGTTACAACCTGGTTGGACGTACAATAAACTTGATAAATTTGAACATTAATTTGATAAATGAATATACTGTTAAAAAGAATAATTCATACAATAAACCGACAAACAGAGATTATTCTTGTAGATTAATTCCTAGTTAAGTGGGTTTTCTTGTCTTTTTGTTAAAATGACTGTTCTTGGAAATAAGAATGGGCGGCTTCCAACTGATGTCAGAAAGAACACAGAAAGTCAGAAATATTAGAATAGCATCCTCAAGATAGAGAATGAAACAAGAGATAAAAGAAGAATAGAGGGTATTATCTAACCTAGTGAAGGACAAGGCTGAATTTGACAGCCACCACCGACATCCAACGGTCAGTCTACAGCCAGTGCCGGCGCCGGCGACGACTTTGCTGAGTTGACAAATTCCATTCTACCCTACCCTACTCTACCCTTCCCTAAGCACTATTGTTTTCTTGATTATGTTTTTTTGGGGTCAATGAGTTATCTGTGCATGTTTTAGTCCATTTTCAATTACGGAGACCTGCGGCTGCGATTACTGATCAAGGCTGCAAAAGAGAAATTTATTTGCTTCTTTCGTTAGGGTGTGATTATACATAAAGAAAAAGAAGTCCCCTTTTTTTCCTCCACTACGCCAGTTAACAGAATCTGTACACTGCTTGTCGATTCTTCGGGAGAAATAAAGATAAAATTAATGAGCGAGCTTCTCTGTCACAGCCTAGTTCTATTTTCTGAAGTTGAAGGATGTAAAAGAGTAGGTGGCTGTTCTCTCTTTTAATTCTCTCTCTATACATGCACCAACCTTAACTTCTGTCTTTGCCTGCATTAAACCTCATTTAGGGCATGAAATCTCAGTAGATTTTGTGGATTTGGATAGATAGTGCAAGAAAAAATTAGGTTTTAAATTTCACTTAATATTTTGAATACTAGAAAACCCCTTGTTTAATTTTATGGTGGATAGGTAGAGAAGAAATAAAATCTCATGCACCATTTTTCACGCTGTATGCATCTGATTCTCATAATCCCGTCAGATTGCTTACATATATCAGTAGCGTTGAATAATATCAGCTAAACACGCATGCAGTTAAAGCGTCCACACCCAAATTCTGTCACAATTCACAAGCCAAAACAAAGACTTTTACCTATATATAAAGAACTGTACCCACAGCCAAATCATCCATAAAAAAAGGTGAGAAGGAGAGAAATATATATGGAGGCTCATGGGAGAGGAGAATGGCAAGAAGATCGGCAAAATCAACGAGGAGTGAAGCTACCGGAGGCTCAGATGTCTCGCCACCAACCTCCGCCGCCACAAAGATGCCCTAGGTGTGATTCGGACAGCACAAAGTTCTGCTACTTTAACAATTACAGCCTTTCTCAACCGCGTTACTTCTGTAAGGCTTGCAGAAGGTACTGGACTCAGGGGGGGACCTTGAGGAATGTCCCCGTTGGTGGTGGGTGCAGGAAGAACAAGAGGAGCAAAGCCCCGTCATCGTCGTCTTCGAGCGGCGGTGAGAGGGCAATGACTCAACCTCTAATACCAGCAGTTCCAACGCCACCAGCGCTTCCACAGCAGAATTTTACAGGTATGGTGGGTGGGGTTTCGGGGAATTCTGGGATATCGCCTGGGAACCAATCTGTGAGGGCCTTGCCTTCGATGGGTCCCTTCTATTCTGGGGGAGAATTCTTGTCTACTTTGGCTTCCATGCGATCCCTTAATCAGCAGCCAAGAATCAATCAATTGCCAGTGAATTTGGATGGTGGCCACTATTTTGGTGGAGGTGCGAACACGGCACTTCTGCAGGGGCTGAATCTTCCTGCGGGACAGATCCAGCCTCAGAATGAAACATTGGCATCACAGCAATACGTGATTCCGTCAAGGCCCCTTAGTTCTTGGAATCCAAACTTCGTCAGCAACGCCACTGCTGGAACCACCAACAACAGCGGCGGAATGGATTCATCGATCAATCGTTATCAGTGGCCCGATAATCTTCCTGGATATCCGCCTAAGTGAATTTTACTAATTCCATGCTACCATCTCGTGACTCTATACCTATGTACACAACGAAAACAGAAAATTTCCCTAATGTTTTGATGGTTAAATAATGGGTTTCTTTGTATATGACTTGATTAATTTTGTTTAGAATCGATATAGTTTTCTAGTTTCAAATTGTATGGAAAGAAACTACATGCATATATGTATATATATGTATGTATGAAATATACAATGTGTTGTTACCTTCTTTATTATAGAGAATATGAGTTGGGTTAGGTTTTCCAACTTTTTGATCAAAAGTTAATCGAGTTAATGTTTATGCCATTTGCTTTTATAGCTTTAAATCGATTTTAACCAAAGAAAAGGAGTTGCTTTATTCATGATCTTGTTTACTAGGGTTTACAGACCATAAAGAGTCTAAAAATCAGCACAATATGTATAGAGCAAGTTAAAATTTCTGGTATAAAGCTTTTATGGGATTACGATGGTTCCATTAAATTGTAAATTTCATCTCTCTGTCTTCCCCCGCGGCCAAAGTTATATGGTAGTACGTGCTTAGAAACAGAATATTACTTATGATATGAAAAGTTGATAAATGCTTGCAAACTTT